AAGTCCCTGCTAAGCACTTTGCTAATTTAATTGCCTGATGTTTTTTCTGTGCAGTTAAATGTGTGAAGAACGTCCCTGCGTATCTGGCAGAAAGGCTTTTCCAGAGCATGAAGGTGAGCTGAGCCAAATGTCCACCAAAATGTCCTCGTACCGTGCGGTTACTGTGTGTGTGTTGTGCAGAGCAGACAGTTACATTGATCTCTGCTGGCGTGGAAGAGAATGTTAAGTCTGTTTTTGTGTTTGTCTGCTGCTGTTGAATTAAACTGTCCATTTGCATCCCAGTAATTTTCTCAGTGACTTTCTGTTGTCTGCCTAAACGTGGTGTTCTGTTGTGTCCAGGGCGCTGGGACCACAGAGTCTGTTCTGACCAGGATTATCGTCAGTCGCTCGGAGGTCGATCTGTTGGACATCAGAGCTGAGTACAAGAAGCTGTTTGGTTACACCCTGTATTCACAGCTAGAAGTCAGTAAACACACCACAGAGATTAAACTCAAAACTAAATGTCAGTGAAAGTGACATTCATTTAGACATTCTACAATAATAAAAAAAAAAATCTTCTTTCCTCTCTCCTCTAACCTCCTATTTTTATTCTTTCCTCACCTCCCCTATCTTATCTCTTCTGAACTCTCCTCCCTGTTTTTCTTTTCTCATCTCTTCTTTAATCTTATTTTTTTACTCCTCTCATCTGTTCTTTTCTGTTCCCTCATCACCTTCCCTCTTCTTTCTTATCACGCCCACTTCCCTGCTTTCCTGTTTACAGTCTGAAGTTTCGGGCCATTTTGGTGACACCCTCAAACGTCTTTGTGGCCAAGACGATTGAGTCATGTGATCAGAAACATCTGTTCATTTCACCCTGGAGGAGACGAGAGGAACTGCATTCAATGAGTCTCAATTTACTGTGATGAAAATTGATCTACAAATATAACAATTTTTTTAATGCCGATCACGGCCGTTGTTTTAGCTGCAGTGTCTTAACATGAAACATAGTAATTAGCCAATGTGAAGACAATGTTGAACGTCTTTTTAATGCACATGTTCAAGTCACCTGTACTTAAAGTTACCACAGACTTGGAATGTATTTTAACCTTTGGTAACAACGAAGTGTCCTAACTTTCACATCATATCTAAAATAAAAATAAAAACTTGATTAGGCTTTTGAAAGTTTCTCAAGTGTATTTAAAGGTGTTTTAAACACTTCTATATAAGTTTATTTACTTGTTTAAGATGCTTATTTGAAGCTAATTCACATGTAACAAACAAAAAATGAATTTACTAATGTCCAAGGCTATCTCTGTGATGTTAGTGTCATACCATTAGAAAGCTAATTCACATGTAACAAACCAATGAATTTACTAATGTCCAAGGCTAGCTCTGTGATGTTAGTGTCATACCATTAGGTACTTTGGCACTGTCGGCTACTTGTAGATCAACATGTAGCTAATTTCCACATTTTGAAGATGAGCTCATTTTCAGCAAATTGAGGTATTTTTGTTTGAACATCCTTCAGGACAAAGTATTGCTGATGCATTGGGCTTAAATAAGACTATTGTCAAGTTAAAATATTTTCAAGTTTTTCATAAACTCTGTTTTCAGCAATTTCATCATCTTTTCTCTTGGCTAATATGTAGCTATATCTGTACGTTAAAGCCAAATATATTGGAAGTTTTATTTTGTCTGATCTGAGTAAAAAAAATGTTTTGAGCTAAAACATCAAATTTATAGTGCACTGTTAGCATCATCAATGCCCAACCCATGGAGACAACTTGACACCTTATCACAGTAGGATGTGACTCAGCAGTCAGACATAAAAGAGGAAACTATTAATACAACATCAATGTATATGTATAAAAAAGACTTTATTTTAACGTCTTGCTGAGGTTGCTGTAACCAATTCCTACACAGGTCATCAGGACTTTGTCTCCTCCTTTCCGTTCGTCTTCTAAAGGCTTCTGGACCTCAATCTTGAACATAATCTGGAAAAAATCTCTAATGTGTCTAAGAAACTCTATCCTGGAGAGAAAGAGAAAAGGGAAGAAGAGAAGAATGGAGAAAGTTACTTTGCTGTGTTCAGACTAATGATCTTTTGGATATTTACCTTTTGGTTACTTTTCATGATTTATTCAGAAAATCTTTTCAAAATTAATTAATATCTAATGGATTAAACAGTGTTTCCTTCAAATAAAGTGATTGTAACCATTGGCCACATATATAAGTCAGTTATTTTAGACTTCATTAAATTTAAGGCAAATCTAAAAAAAAAAACTAGGGATGTCCGATGTTAACTTTGCTTATTTCTTATATGCTGATGTTGTCCAAACACTTAATTTCTGAATCCGGTATCCACTGATACTGATATAGGCCTGGTAATATTTATTAGTTCAGTGGTTCTCAAACTATGGTGGTGGTACGCGATTAATACAACATTTAAACAAAAACATTTTTATAAACATTTCTAAACCTCTCTCCTGTGGTGGAAGCTAACAGGGAAGGCCTACGCTGCTGTATTCTACTGTTGGTCATCATGGTGGTACTCAGAGACCTCAATGTTTTCTCAGGTGGCACAGAGTATAAAAGGTTTGAGAACCACTGTATTGGTTTATCTGCACAAAGCACTGTATGTGTTGCTGGCACCAGAAATCTGCATACAATCCTCTGATTATTAAAATAGATCAATTAACTGAGCGGGAATGCTGCCATCTAGTGACTTTAACTTTAATATACAGCCGTTAATCCCCAAAACTATTTTTAGGGCACACATCATTTGGCCAGGTTTTCATTATTGGAGGAGAAACCGATAGATTCTTACAGATATTACATAATTATGCTAATAACAGTCTGATATTATCGGCCGGCCGATATTATCGGACATCCCTAAAATAATTAATAATCCATTAGTTTTTTATATAAAGAAAGACATTTTAATGATGTTTCTCTTCATCAAAATGCCCTACACCGTTTAGTGAAGCAAAAATACAGTTTGTAATTTTACATTCCACTACCTTGAGGACAGGTGTTATTCCTGTATTGACAAAATACACTAGCTAAAATACTGAGCTTCCAATAAAATGATATCTAGCTTAATGTAATGTCAACAGGTCAATGACATCTTCATGTCATCATCAGTTTAATTTAGATGTTAAGATTTTTTTTTTATTCTTTAACATAGGATAGAACACATTTTTGTTTGTAATATTTGTTATTGAGTCAGAAGGGGTGGCTGTGGAGCAGTAGGTAGAAAAAGGCCATTAAAGACCCAGAGGGTTGCGGTTTGATCGCTTGTCTATCTGGTTCACATGCCACTGTAAATGAGAGCTGAAGGGCTGAGAGGTGAACTGCTGGGAAACATGGTTTGACTTTTTGAACCTTGAAAACAATGTGTTTTTCCATTACCTGTGTGAAAGGAGGAGTGTATTGTGATGGCACTGCCAATCTTCAGTTATCATAGTACTGTACTTGATTAGGACACAGCACCGGTACCATGATAACTGAAAATGGACAGTTCATAATTCTCTC